AATATAAATACAAATATAAATATAAATATAAATATAAATATAAATATAAATATAAATATAAATATAAATAAATATTAAAATTATATAATTTCAATACACCTGGGGATATACATTCTTCAGGCCCTTTGTGGCTAGCTACCAGCTAGCTACGCTGCAGCTAGCTGTGGCTAGCTACCAGCTAGCTGGGCGACAGCTAGCTACGGCTAGCTAGCTATCAGCTATGTATGCTACAGCTAGCTGTGGCTAGCTAGCTAGCAGCTAGCCATGCTACGGCTAGCTGTGGCTAGCTAGCTAGCTAGCAGCTAGCTGTGCTACGGTTAGCTGTGGCTAGCTAGCTAGCAGTTATGTATGTTCCAGCTAGCTGTGGCTAGCTAGCTATGGCTAGCTAGCTAGCAGCTATGTATGCTACAGCTAGCTGTGGCTAGCTAGCAGCTAGCTAGACGGCATGGGGCTGCATGCAGATACTATAGTGGCTGTTACACACAGCACGAGCTGCTCGTCCCCCAGCTAGCCACAGCTAGCTACAGCTAGCTACAGCTAGCCACAGCTAGCCACAGCTAGCCACAGCTAGCTACAGCTAGCCGCAGCTAGCCACAGCTAGCCACAGCTAGCCACAGCTAGCCACAGGCAGCTACAGCTAGCTGCAGCTAGCTACACGTAGCCATAGCTAGCTACAGCTAGCTGCAGCCAGCTGCAGCTAGCTGCAGCTAGCGGCGAGCAGGTGGCTGCTGCAGCTGCTGCAGCTGCTGCAGCTGCCTAGGAAACAAAACAAAGAAATTACGGGTCGCCAAGAGAGACACACAGACAGCTCCCCCAGCAGCAGCAGCAGCAGCAGCAGCAGCTTGAGCTCTTGCTGCTGCTGCTGCTGCTGCTTCTGCTGCTGCTGTTGCTGCTGCTACTGCTGTTGCTGCTGCTGCAAGCCAGAACGAGAGACACGGGAAGCCGCAGACAGCAGCAGCAGCAGCTGCTGCTTAGCTCCACAGTCATCGACTTGCTCTGCCAACTCCTGCAGCAGCAGCAGCAGCAGCAGCAACAGCAGCAGCAGCAGCAGCAGCAACAGCAGCAGCAGCAGCAACGGCAGTGAGAGATGCAGAGAGGTTCAAATTCCGAAAGAGCGAGGGAGCTGCTGCTGCTGCAGCTGCAGCAGCAGCAGAAGCAGCAGCAGCAGCTACACCAGCAGCAGCAACCACAGCTAGATCAGCAGCAACAGCAACAGCAGCAGCAGCAGCAGCAGCAGCAGCAGCAGCAGCAGCATATACCTGTACTTTTTCTAACAGCAGCGTGAGCCGTTGGTTTTCTCCCTGATGTATCAGCAGCTGCTGCCTCTCCTTAACCAGCCTGCAGCAGCAGCAGCAGCAGCAGCAGCAGCAGCAGCAGCAGCAGCAGCAGCAGCAGCAGCAGCAGCAGCTTTAGTTTATGTCTATAAATTTCCTTTTTGTGTATTTCTTGCCGTTTATTTATCTACTAATATTTATTTATTTACATCTATCTATTTATATTTATTTATTTATTTATTTATATTTATTTATTTATTTATATTTATTTATTTATTTATATTTATTTATTTATTTATTTACAGTTTTTGTATTTCTTGTTCTACATTATTAATTTCGTTTTTGTATCGATTGATGGCCGCATCGAAGTCCCCCAGTACAGACAAACAAAAAGCACAGGATTGCTGCTGCTGCTGCTGCTGCTGCTGCTGCTGCTGCTGCTGCTGCTGCTTGCGCTCTTTCAGTTGCTGCTGCTGCTGCAGCAGCTGATGGTGCTGCTCTACTGTTGAAATAGTTCTATGGGACTGCTGCTGCTGCTGTTGCTGCTGCTGCTGCTGCTGCTGCTGCTGCTGCTGCTGCTGAGTATATTGAGAGACGTGACTGCGCATTTGCAGTTGCTGCTGCCGTTGCTGCTGCTGTAGCTGCTGCTGCTGTAGCTGCTGCTGCTGCTGCTGCAGATAGATGTGCTGCTCGCGTTGCTGTAGCTGCCACTGCAGCTGTTGCTGCTGCTGTTGCTGCTGCTGCTGCTGCTGCTGCTGCTGCTTTTGCTGCTGCTGCCGGAGCTGAAAGGTTTCTCGCAGCTGAAGCAGCTGATCGGGTAGCGCGCGCTGCTGCTGTTGCTGCTGCTGCTGCTGCTGCTGCTGCTGCTGTTGCTGCTGCTGCTCTCTCTTCACTTGCACCTGCTGCTGCTGCGTCGAAGGGGCTTGTCGGTGTTGCTGCTGACCTAGCTGCTGCAGTTCATGCTGCTGCTGCTGCTGCTGCTGCTGCTGCTGCTGGCAGTGTTGCAGTTCGTGCTGCTGCTGCTGTTGCCGATGCTGCTGCTGCTGCTGCTGCTGCTGCTGTCGCTGATCCTCCTGCCATCTTTGTTGCTGCTGCTGAGACCCTTGCTGCTGTGCTTTCTGCTGCGGAATCAAGCTCTGCTGCTGCTGCTGCTGCTGCTGCTGCTGCTGCTGCTGCTGTTGCTGCTCCCTCATAGGTGCTGTAGTGTGGTGCTGCATTAGGGTTGCTTGCTGCTGCAGCAGATGCAGCAGCGGCGTTTGCTGCTGCAGGGATTTGTACGCTAGCTGTTGCTGCTGCTGCTGCTGCTGCTGCTGTTGCTGCTGCTGCTGCTGCTGCTGCTGCTGCTGTTGCTGCTGCTGCTGCTTCGCAGTTTCTCTATAAGTTGAGTGGCTGCTGCTGACTACAGATGATGCCGGGCGCAGCAGCGCCGACTGCTGCTGCCGCTGCTGCTGCTGCTGCTGCTGCTGCTGCTGCTGCTGCATGAGCAAGGAGGAGTGCATCTGCTGGTGTTGCTGCAGCAGCAGCTGGCGCTGCAGTTGCTGCCACTGCTGCTGCTCCTGCTGCTGCTGCTGCTGCTGCAGCAGCGGGGCTTGCAGCTGCTCATCGGCTCCCTCCTTGCTGGGGGGTTGCCGCCTCCCTCCTGCATACAAACCCCTAAACCCTAAACCCTAAACCCTAAACCCTAAACATACATTGCTGCTGCATCTACTCCTGCTGCTGCATCTCCTGCTACTACCACTATTACTACTACTAGTACTACTCCTGCTGC